AAGCAGGTTTGGAAAGGACAGGCAACTGTGCAACTCCCTGCTCTTTCCTTGGAAGTCCTCTGCAGGCTTCTCCAGGGTTGTTGTCATTGTCCATGACCTTAGTGCAGCAGTGTCCCTTTGCACAGGGACTGCACTCCTGCTGCTCTGCTGGCTCTGGCTTGGAGCTCCTGAGGGGCTGGTTTATTGCTGTGTCAGTCACACAGCCCAGGAACCACTGATCAACCCTTGAAACCTCCCAAGGTGTCACCTCAGTATGCTGTCCCAGCACTGCATCCTTGGGAAGGGTTTTTTCAGAGTGTTCATCCTGAATATCCCAAGCCTTCCCTTCTGCAGAAAAATTGGGAATTTCACTAGAAGTGCTGCTTGACTAAAAAGAGCACTTGAAGCAAAATAATAAATAAAAACCAAACCAACCAACCAACCAGCCAACCAAATTAAAAAAACCCAACAAAACCCCCCAAAAAACAACAAAAACAACAACAAAGCAGCATGTAAGAATGGGAACTACAATAGCAAAAGAATGTAGTAAACATTGCTTGCTTGGGTACTTAGAGGTGGTATTGAGCATGGCCAAGTTCCACCTACAACTCAGACTAGAAAGGATCATTAAAGCTACAGCATTTAATAGCTACAGCTGTTCTAGAAGTTGGGGGAAATGCACATCCACTGACAGATGGAGGAAACACTGTGGTACTGGACAATATGAAAAAACCATGATGATCAATGGATTTTTGTAGCATCTTCAGAGGCAAAGCCGGCTCCCAGATCTTTGCATTCACCAGCTTGGTTTTGGAAGTAGGTGGGAAGACCAAATGTGAGGCTTAAGGACTGCTTAAAGAATAGAATAGATGACACAAACCCAGATGGATTATCAGTTCATGCCAATGAAGCTGGTGTCAGCCATGGTGGAATATCATGGCAAATGGGAAAAGGCTGAATGAAAAACCTAATATGATGCCCACCTTTAGGGAGGGCAAGGATAAAGATATGTGAAACAGCAGTAGTACCTCCATCCTTCTGTAGTAATTACAAAATGTAATTACAAAATTATTATGAGCAATACCTCCATCCTTGGAAAAATTATGGAGCAAGAATTCTTGGAAATAATTTTCATGCATGTGAGAGGCAGGAAGGTAATCAGGAAAAAGTCCACTGGTCCAGCCTTTGGATTTAATCCAAACCCCTTATTTTCCCCACTTAGCACATCACTGCAAAGTCTAGTGCAGACTTGGGGAGTCAAGTCACCACTGACTCTACAGAGATTTTTGTGCAGTCATCTTCATTGCTGGTAGTTACACTTAGAGCAGTGGGTGGATAAGGCAAACAGGATCCAGGAGCGAGGTTGCTGCCTTGGGTTGACAGAAAATATAGGTGTCATATGAGTGCATTGTCCCTGAGTATGTAGATATTCTGCACATTGGATGTAGTCAAATAAGAACACATCCAGCAATCAGCAATGCTGTGCTAAGACACAAAGCAAGAACAAAGGACAAACACGCCTACTTCAGACTCCTTCCAAGAGGGTGAAAAGGTTTAACAAACTCCAGCTTAGAACTTTCCTTTCTTTTAACAGCTTCTTTTTTGTTGTGGGTTTTTGGCTCTTTTCTCCTCCTGTGGGCTGGAGAACAGTAAAGTGTAGCAGGGTAAACATGTGGGATAAATGTAAGAAACCTTTGCTCCCACATCCTGGCTCTTGGCAGGCAGGTGGAGCATGAGGTGGAGAAAGCTCTGCTAAAGCAGATAGCAAGCTCTGGAGAAAGTTCTCTGAGCAAATATGGTCTCACAGCAAGAGTCATGGGATCCTTTAACAGCCACAAGCTGATCTGGGCCAGAGTAGCCCTGGTAACTAGTGGAGAGAAGGGTGAAATCCTGGTGACACTTCTCAGCTGCTGCTTTCAGCAAGGGACAAAATTTCCACACATGGTTTCTTCCAGCCACTGAGACTCACCCACTCAGGGTGTAGAGAGGAGGAATAGCTCAATACTCTGAGAGCAGAATACTTCTGCCCACAGAATACTTCTCCCATCTGCAGGAGGAAGTGGTAAGTTGCTCTTAGACTATTTTTTTGCCTGTAGATGCCAAACTTGGAAGCATGAAAAGGTAACACCCATGATTCCTTGCAACATTTCAGGGTTTGAGAGTCAACAGAAAATGCAACAGGAACCACCAAGCCTGCTGCAGCACCCCAGTTTGCTGGCAAGTTCCTTGTAGTGATGGTCCTGCATTGTTCCTAAAGCCCTAGGAGGCAATTGTGAAGGGACAAAGTGGGCAGAGGCCACTGCTCTCTTCCAGATCCCTCAATCAATATGGTCTTCAGAGCATGCCTGCAAACAACTGCAGGAGCTTGGAGATGTCCTGCCCACTGTGCCAGCCTGGGCCCAGAGGCTGGTACTTGGTCTCAGCTGGAAACAAGCCCACCTTTCCCTGGAGAGCACTGGAGAGCTCATGCCTAGCCTTAGCCACAGTCTGGCCAGAAAGATCTCTTCCACAGAAACTGTTTTTGTGAGAAATTGCAAGGAACACAAGCAGTGTTTACTTCAGTTTCCCAGGAATTACTCCTCCATTTCCACACTCTAGCCAAACCCACAAACACTCAGGGAGCAAGCAGTGGCCTGTTCGCCCAAGCAGTCACAGCCTGAGTGAGGGTTTGCATCCTCTGCCTGGTTTCAGGATGGATTGCATGCTGTGCCCCTACCCACATATAGGAACCACCTTAGTTTTCTGGTGTCATCTGGGGACTCTCAGGTCTGTGTCTCTAACGGGCAAAAATTTTGCAGAAGAGAGAAATTAATTCAGGGAGTAGCCAGAGGGAGGAAAAGCTGGAGAAAGTTAATGCAAGGAAATCAAGGCACAGCCTAGTCCACCCCATGAGCCAGAAACCCACCAAGACAGCGGGTAATCCAGAGCAATGCTGCCAAATGTTGTAACTGAAAATATTTTTATTTGACATCAATAGTAAAGAAGACACATTGGATTACACATCCCTTGATACATAAATGGTAAGAATGCAAAAGCAAAACCACCTACAGGAAACCCAAAGGCAGTCCAGTATACAGGCAGCATCCTGGGGGAAAGCAGCATATCAGGACCCTCCCTCATGCTAACAAGCAGTCAGTCATCCCAAAGAATCCAAGCATTAGCGTTTCCTTTGAAGCTGTTTTTCTGGGTTTCAACCGTTAGTTACAATCAGTATCACTTTGAGTGTTTTCACCGGCAGGGGAGTGGAAAAAACACCACCCACCATAGGACACAGTCGGAATCGGCTTCGGTGCAACATGAGTGTTTGTAGATGTGGCCCCTGAAAATCCGTGGGAGAGAAATTTCATGGCCAGGTCGAGTCAAGAGCATTTAATGAGTTTGACTGATACAGTTTACACAGAGACAATGAGCTCTAGAAATCACAGGTCAGCACCAAAGGGCAACATGAGCAACAAAAGGTGGCTTCAGTTCTTTACATGGCTTGTGGCTTCAGCAGTGGAAGAGAAACTACGCAGCAGCTTCTTGCGCTGCTAGAATCTCTCTGCTGAAAAGGGTTTTCAGGTTTCCTGATTTTCCAGTTTCCATTTCTTCTCTCTTTCAAGACACATGTTGTAGAAACCTTTGATCACAGCAGCCAGAAACAAGTGCTCATCCCACCTCCATGACATTGAATAATTTCAGCATACAGCCAAACAATGTGTTGTTGCACTAACTTTTTTCTAACCATCAGAGAATCTCACTGCAAGGAATGCTTGCCAGCATCTTCCCCCACCATCTGATAACAGATAGACATTACAGCTGAAGGTCCCAACTCTTCGACTTACAAAAGGCTCAGCACAAAATTTAAGTGCTCTCTGCAAAGACATGGCATTTTCAAGTGCAGCCTTGATAAATTTTTGGTTATCTGCTGCTACCTGTGGAGGTGGAGCCCTCCTTTCTAAAGCAGCTTTGAAAAAAAATTTAAAAACAGTCCCCTTCTGTGTCTCCATTACTGCTACAGACTACACCCATGCCAATGTTTTACAGGGAGACATTTGACCTGATTTCTATAAAACACATCTTCTTGTAGTCCCTTGCATCTTTAAGACCAGGAGCCTGATCTGCCATAAGGACTATTGTATTGTTTGGTGTTGTTTTTTTTTTTTTTTTTTTTTTTTTTTTTTTTTTTTTTTTTTTTTTTTTTTTTTTTTTTTTTTT